TTAACTTTTTAAAACTTGTTTTGAAAAAAATGTAAACCTATAGACAAGCAGGAAGGATAGTACAGTAAACTCATATACAGAAAATCTAGATTAACAAGATAATAACTTTTTTATTGTGGTAAAATGCACATAACAAAATTAACTATTTTATTTTTTGTTGTTGTGTATTTTTATTTTTATTATTATTATTATTATTATTATTATTTTGAGACAGGGTCTCACTCTATTGCCCAAGCTGCAGTGCAGTGGCACAAACAAGACTCACTGCAGCCTCAACCTCCCCAGCTCAAGTGATCCTCCTACCTTAGCCTCCTGAGTAGCTAGGACTACAGGCATGAGCCCCCAGGCCCAGCTAATTTTTTTATTTTTTGTAGAGATAGGGTCTCACTGTATTGCCTAGACTGGTCTTGAACTCCTGGGCTCAAATGATCCTCCTGTCTTGACTTCCCACGGTGTTGGGATTACAGGCGCCAGTCACCACATCTGGCCAGAATTGACCATTTTATTTTGTTTTTTTGAGACAGGGTCTCACTCTGTCATCCAGGCTGGAGTGCAGTGGCACCAAAATTTACGATTTTAAAGTGTTGATTCAGTGACATCGACTACATTCAGTGTTGTGCAACCATCACTACTTCCTAGTTACAGAACTTTTTCATAAATAATGACATTAGCCACACATGCTTTATTCTCTCTACTACTGCTGCTACTGCTACAACTACTGATTATTATTTTTTGATTGTTATTTTCTGGAACTTCGGCATTTAAATAACAAATATCATAATCCTTTAACCCTAAATACTTAAGTAAGTATCTCCTAAAATCAAGAATGTTCTCTTTTATTATATTGTTTATTAAATTCAGGAAGTTTATGATATGAGAGTATTATTAAATATATTGTTTGTTTTCATATGTTGCTACTTGTCTCAATACTGACCTGTAGGGAAATTTTGGGTTTATAGTCCAAATTTCTATGTAGGAACACCTAGAACTGCATTTTGTTGTCATGTGTATTTTGAAATAGTTTTTTAGCCTTTTTTTTTTTTTTTTTTTTGTTTTTTTTTGCCTTTGCTTCTTTGAGGTTTTTGGGTTGGTTTTTTTTTTTTTTTTTTGTAGAATGACCTTCAGTTGAGTTTGTCTTATTGTTTTCTCATGATTAGGTTGGTTTGTGTTTTGGGCAGGAATACCATATAGGTGGTAATGTCTTCTCCAAACATCAGTCAGGAGGCACTGAATGTCGCGTATCGTGGTGGTAACTTTGGTCTCCTGGTTGAGACTTTTTAATGGCACTTAAAAGAATTTTTTTGGTGGGATTTCAAATTGCAGAGGTGATCGAATGTATATTTCTAGTGACCAGTGTGCAAAAGATGAACCTTTGACTTTTTTTTTTTCTTAATCATTTCTCATGTTAGGGTGGTGATGATGTCATGGCCTGCGTCCATGATGACAATGGCAGGGTCCGCATACAGCACTTCTATAATGTAGGCCAGTGGGCAAAGGAGATTCAGAGAAACCCTGCCAGAGATGAAGAAGGAGTTTTTGAGAATAATCGCGTCACCTGCAGATTTAAACGCCCTGTGAATGTTCCCAGAGATGAAACAATTGTTGATCTGCATTTGAGTTGGTATTATCTGTTTGCTTGGGGTCCAGCCATTCAGGGTAAGCTTACATTTTAGCATCTGGATTAAACACCAGACATCACTGTGCTTGTGTTCATTCTTAATTGAAGTCACACTGTGTGCACAAGAGAGCGATAAGCACTCTGGGTCATTTAAAGGAAAAGGAGATGCGACTCCTACCTTCAGAAGGTTATAATGGACTTATTATAATGGACTTCTTATACAGACGAACAAATGAACAGTTATACACATGCAAAGCTACAGCAGTACGAGATAGTATGTCATGAGTGATGTGCTTAATGAAACAGATCATACATCTGCTGTATGTAGGGCTCTGTTGAATTCTCCCAGCATTCTCATTTACTCCTCACCATGTCCTTGAGAGGTATAGGTATTATTGTCCAGGTTTTAGAGAGATTAAGAAACTTGCTCAAGGTTATACAACTAATTAGTAGAAGAATTAAAATTCAATCCTAAGTGTCTGACCCCAAAGCCCGTGAATACTCTTAACTCCTATGCTGTAAATATAAAAAGACTGAACAGGGGCAAGACGTGGTGGCTCACGCTATAATCCCAGCACTTTGGGAGGATGGTTTGAACCCAGGAGTTCAAGACCAGCCTGGACACTATAGTGAGACCCTGTCTCCATTCAAAAAAAAAAAAAAAAAGGAAGAAAGAAATAATAAAAAGTACTGAACAGGAAGGGCTTCTGGAGACTTCTCCAGAGATTGATACCAGGCATTTCATTAGGGCCCACTTTGTGACTATTCTGTTAGTCATAAATCTACCAAATTATCCCATAGTTTAACCCATTACTCCTTAAATATTTATGTGTATAGGAATTACCTGGCTATATTGTTAAAGTGCAGTTTTCTGTAGGTTTTCCCCTCTCCTCTCCCCTCCCCTCCCTTCCCCTCCCCTCTCTCCCAGGGTCTTGCTCCGTCACCCAGGCTGAAGTGCAATGAAACAATCACAGCTCACTGCAGCCTCCACCTCCCAGGTTTAAGTGACCCTCCCACCTCAGCCTCCCAAGTAGCTGGGACTACAGGCATGTACCACCATGCCTGGCTAACTTTTTTTTTTCTTTTTTTGTAGAAACGGGGTTTCGCCATATTGCGCAGGCTGGTCTTGAACTCCTGGGCTCAAGCGATCCACCAGCTTTGACCTCCCTGAGTACTGGGATTACAGGTGTGAGCTACCGCACCTGGCAAGATTCTACATTTCTCATAAGCTCCCTAGTCATGCTGGTTCATTGATGACCTCATTTTGGGTGGCAAGACTCTGCAGCATTTCCCCAAAAAAGACCCAAGGATATTATGAGAGCTTTTAGAGACTGCTAAAATCAAGTTACACTGAGCCTTGAGCATTTCTTCTGGTTGATTAGCCTGAGGGCCTGCTCAAGAATGGAAGTGAGTTTGGTTTGCAGTCCTTGCACTGAGAACTCATTCCGGCTTCTGGTAATTGCATCTTTCTTTACTGTGTGCTCATCAACTATGTGCTGCCTAATCTGATCTGGTTGTTTTTTTCCTTCAATTGGTTTCCACCGATCAGCCCAGAGATGACATAATCTACCTTTTATTTTGCCTGTTGCCAACTGGGAAGACACTTGGCTGCCTCCAGATTGGTGACACCTTTTCCATTTGCTAATTTCCCTGATTACCAACAGTGGCGCTGCAGTTAGAACTTCAATTACTTTCGGTACTCTGGGAAATAAATTATATCTCAGCCTGGAGAAATGGAGTCATCTAAAATAGTGGGATTTGAAGTCTAAAAATTTGAGTCTGAGTATTGGTTCTGCCCCTTGGTAGCTGTATAATATTTAGCCTGTTATTTAATTTCTGAATTTCATTTCCTTATATCTAAAGTGGGGATAATAATACTTCCTATTCCATGGAATTATTGTAAGGATTAAGTGAAAACAAGTATTTTAAGTTGCTTTACCAATTGGAAAAAGCTGTATTTTCAGAAGGCCATCTTTTTACATACATGGCAGATATGGCAGACTAGCCTAAAGTTCAAAACTTTCTCCAAATCTGGTCCTGCTTTACCTGATAAGCTCTCTCAAGACTTCTGTTCTTCTCACTAACTCTAAGCAAACAGGCACATTCATACCCCATATACAGGCTTCTGCTTTTCTTGTTTCCTGAATACCCTTCTTTTTTTTTTGAGATGGAATCTCACTCTGTTGCCCAGACTGGAGTGCAATGGCATGGTCTCTGCTCACTTCAACCTCAGCTTCCCAGGTTCAAGCGATTCTCCTGCCTCAGCCTCCCGAGTAGCTGGGATTACAGGCACTCACCACCACACCCAGCTAACTTTTGTATTTTTAGTAGAGATGGGTGTCACCATGTTGGCCAGGCGGGTCTCAAACTCCTGACCTCGTGATCTGCCCACCTCAGCCTCCCAAGTGCTGGGATTACCGGCATGAGCCACCACTCCTGGCCTCCTGAATGCCCTTTTAATGCCTCTTTACTGATTATATCCTACTTATTCTCCTAAGGTCTCTGTAAGGGGAAAAACTTTGAACTAAGACTTGAAAGGGGTATGAGGTTGGATTTCACTCAAGGAAGGCATGAACTGTAGACACATAGTTGAGCAGCCCATGCAGGTGACCAATGAGCTGAGGTTAGATAGGAGAGGTGAGTGGGATCTATTGAGAGAAAAGTCTGCTCTGTTACCCAGTCTGGAATGCAGTGAAACAATCACAGCTCACTGCAGCCTCCACCTCCCAGGTTTAAGTGATCCTCCCCACTCAGCCTCCCAAGTATCTGAAACTACAGGCATACAAACCTGAGAAGTTTGATTTTTGCTAACTGGGGCCAGCACGGACACTAAGCAGGGACCTGACATGACAAGTTTGGCAGGGCTTCCCTAGCAGATAGGACCTTAAAACCCTCACTCTGAGCCCTATTCCTAAGGAGACCTTTGCACTGAATGCATATGCCTTAGTCTCCCTAACCCAAGTTTCATATGGATTATTCAGAAAGTCAGATACTTTCAATCAACTGAAGATTATTAAATATATTTTAACACAGTCTGTACTTCTTGCCACTTGTAACCAAATTAAAAGAAAGTTTCCCATCGAAAGACTTGTTTGGTACCTTAATCATCCCACTTTCTGTACCATTCTACCCTAATCTGCCAGACACACAGACACACACCCAGCATACCACACTCCCTCTGGCATGGCCTGGGCAGGCTACTAAGTGTCCCACAGACAGTAGAGGAGGGCTTCCATCTGTAAGGGAGATGTTAGGAGTTGCTGATGGTCCATATATATACACATGTATATATATGTGTACACATGTACACATCCATACATATATATGTATATGTTGATGATATACATATATACAAGATAGATTTGAAGGAAAAAAGTTAGTAGTCTCTGCTGTTTGAAAGAAAAATATAGTTTGCCCTTTTGGGTATTAATAAGACAAAACTCATTAGAGCCATTTAAAGAAGACAATCATACAATAATCATAATCATACAATATTGTATGATTATGACTAGGAGTCTTAAAATTGGGATGCCAGGAAACAGACCAACAGCATTGTTCCTATAGGGGAGTGCAGATTAATGAGAACTAGTCTTTTTGGATAAATTTAACTAATTTCTATGTTCTTCATCATATGTACAATGATAGAGAATTCTGATAACTCAAATACCTGAATCCAGATCTTTGTAACCACTGCTTATGTATTCAACACTAAATAGACTTTTGATTTTTCCATTGTTTGCCTATACCATTATAAATCTGTTCTTTTTTCAATTGCCCCCCACCCTTCTCTTTTTTTCTTAAAGGCTCTATCACTCGACATGATATAGACTCACCACCAGCTTCAGAGCGTGTTGTCAGTATTTACAAGTATGAAGACATTTTTATGCCATCAGCTGCCTATCAAACCTTCTCATCTCCATTTTGTTTGCTTCTGATTGTTGCTCTGACCTTCTACCTGTTGATGGGAACCCCCTAACCACAACTGCAGGGCCAACAGATTACATGGATTGGGAAGTCTTTAGTATAAATATATTTTTAAAGAATATCCAGTATAATTTTAGCTTCAATTATTTAAGAAAAAAAACCCTCATATAATTTCAGCTTTTTGGAAGAAAGAACAAGCTTCTTTTCTAGTCAAAGAAGATTGTTTAATAATGACCCTATACTTTTGGAATGTACTTACACCTTTTCTAAGCACTTTCAAATATGTTTTCTTCTTTAACTTCGCAACGTCTGTGAGTTGGATTGATGAAAATTATGATTGCCATCTTCCTGAATGGGATTTGAGACCCAAAAAGACTGCCTTTTTATGATCCACATACCATATAACTTTGGCTAGAAATGAAAAATAGAAAGGCAGAGAAAGAATTAGGTATAGAAATAATGTCTCAAAACAGTCTTTACTAGGAGTGCCATAGCACAGAGAGTTATTTTGAGTATTACTAGGGAGAACTTTACTGAATGTCATAAGTTCACAGTCAGCCTTTTGGGGAGAAGAACTTTCAAATCTCCGTAAAGCAGAAGTGCTTTGGATATTACGCAGCCAGTGGGGAGATTGGAGGAAAATACAATGATGCGAAAATAGTTCATATTTATTTGAAATTTTGGCCAAGCACGGTGGCTCACGCCTGTAATCCCAGCACTTTAGGAGGCTGAGATAGGCAGATCACCTGAGGTCAGGAGTTCGAGACCAGCCCGGCCAACATGGTGAAACCCCATCTCTATTAAAAAGTACAAAAATGAGCCAGGCGTGGTGGTACACACCTGTAATCCCAGCTACTCAGGAGGCTGAGGCAGGAGAATTGCTGGAACCCAGGAGGCGGAGGTTGCAGTGAGTCGAGATTGTGCCACTGTACTCCAGCCTAGGTGACAGAGCCAGACTCTGTCTCAAAAATAACTAACTAAATAATATTTATTTGAAATTTCTTCTCAGTTAGAGAGTAGCTATGATAAAACATTTTTACTTATTTGGAAAGGTTAGAGACCAAACTGTGAGCATTCCTGAAGATGTAAAGTTGTGTTAATGATATTTAAAAAAAAAAAGGGAATTCTTAGCAGTTAAAATTTGAACTTTTCTACCACTGAATTTTATAAAACTAAGGTATTCATCTGTGGTTACAGTGAATTCTCTTGTCAGAGCCAGCATGCATTAAGTATGATTAAAAATGTTTTGAATTTTTTTTTTTTTTAAGATGAATTTTCCGTCTTGTCACCCAGACTGGAGTACAACAGCATGATCTCAGCTCACTGCAACCTCCACCTCCCAGATTCAAGCGATTCTCCTGCCTCAGCCTCCTGAGTAGCTGGGATTACAGGCACGTGCCACTATGCCTGGCTAATTTTTTTGTATTTATAGTAGAGACAGAGTTTCACCATGTTAGTCAGGCTGGTCTCGAACTCCTGACCTCAGGTGATCCGCCTGCCTTGGCCTCCCAAAGTGCTGGGATTACAGGTGTGAGCCACGGCGCCTCGCCTAAAAATGTATTATATCAGACAAAACATCTTAGTAAAAATTTAGGGCATTTTAATAATAAGCCAACAGCTTTTGAGACTGTAGAGATTTAAAGTAGAATTTTTTTTTATGAGGTGGCTTTTAAAAAAAAATTTGAAAATGGGAAAATGACCCATAAAGTGAATTCACCTAGAATATCCATTTAAAATGTTCAGACTTGTGGCTGAGTGCGGTGGTTCACACCTGTAATCCCAGCACTTTGGGAGGCCGAGGCAGGCGGGTCATCTGAGGTCAGGAGTTCGAGACCAGCCTGACCAACATGGCAAAACCTTGTCTCTACTAAAAATACAAAAATTAACCGGGTGTGGTGGTACACGCCTGTAATCCCAGCTACTGGGGAAGCTGAGACACGAGAATCACTTGAACCTGGGAGGCAGAGTTTACAGTGAACTGAGATTGTGCCACTCACACTCTAGCCTGGGCAACAGAGGGAGACCCTGTCTCAAAAAAATAAGTAAAATAAAATGTTCAGACTTAAAAACTGGACAGGTAGTCAGCATAATTCATAATAATGCCTTCACATATGCTTTTTTTCTAAAGGAGCCCCAAAGTTCCTTTGTTCCAAATGTCTGTGCTAACAGCCCATTTTGAGGAGAGAAGTCTGCAGGTATGGTTAGTGTTGCTGACACATTTCCACTGTGGCATTCTAGAGTTCTCTGGCTTGCCCTTGTTGCTTTAAAGCTGGTTCCAACTTTGTGGGCTTTATGATTGAACAACACTGGTGATTGTGATTTCTAATACCACCCTCCAGGTTCATGTCACAGGTGAAAGTCTGCCTGTGAGGAGAGCTTTCACATTCTCCTGGAGTTGAACCAAAATAAGGAAAACATCAACAAGCACAGTTACCAAAAGTTGCCAAGGGACAGAGGAGAAATACTGTTCATTGCAGATGGGGAGAAATTAAATGACATCAAGTGCATAATGGAACTGGGTAGGATTCAAACTCAGGTCCCCTGGTTCAGGTCCTTGACTCCACTCTGGTCATGGCTAACTCTGGCCTGTGCCTCATCTTCTCAGCTCTAGCGGCTGTTTAGAGGTGAAGATACTGATAGGCAGGCACCCGCGTTGTAAATAAGAAGCAAATATTTTTATATTTCTCTCTCTTATGTGTATAATATTTGAGCTATAAACAGGTTAAAACGAAAGAGAGACTTCAGCTTAGTAGCAGGCAGGGAAGGAAGAAGTCAATGCAGCTTCCTTCCTCTTACATTTCTAATCAAGCTAATTATTTCACTGATGATTTCTCATTTGATTACCTGTTTTGCTTATTTATGCTTAGAACTTTCAGTGACTTCTCAGTGCCATTAAGGTAAAATGAAGTCATTTCTGTGACCTGCAATATCATCGTTTGCCACTCCTCCCCATTTGCTATGTCTTAGCAAGACTGAGAGGCTCTCAGTTCTTCAGACCTGCTCTATCTCACCTCTCATTTTGTTCATATTCTCCACCTCTTGTGCTTGATGAACTCCTACTCACCTATCAGGTCACAACTTAAATATTTTTTCCTCCAGATCTCTGGACTACATAGGTCCAGGCCCCTATCAAATGCTCCCATAGCACATTAGGCTTCCTCAGCAACGTGCTCATCATACTTTTCTAGAATTGCTGGCTTGTCTTCCTTGTTATCTCCCTAATGCAGAGACCATTACTCATCATTGTAGCAGACGTTTATCCATAGCAGGCACTCAGCAAACATTTGTGGAATGAATGTATATGTCAAACTCTTCTTTTATGGCAAGTTTGTTTGGTTCAGAAGGCTTGCCTTTCATGTATATTATGAGACTGGCCAACATTTTTATATTCTTCCTCCTGTGCTCAAACCGTAAATAATTATGTTAGCAAACACTGAACTTTGTCTTTTGAAAAATAAATAGAAACATCCTTAGTAACAGTACTAACAAGAATTCACACCAGTGATACAGAATGGCCTTTGACCATTATCTCAGAGAACAACCAATTGATAGACATGCTGAAGTAGTAACTCCGCAGACTTCAGTTTCATTCATCCCTACTTAATATAAGAGAATTAACTTCTATTTTATGTCTGTATTCCCATTTTCTAATATACTACTTGTCACAGAGGAGATGCCCAACCAGTGTTTTTTGTAAAGCACCTGAACTGATTAATAATAATGCTAGTGAAATGTATTTATTGCTGTTCTAAGCACTTTACACGAATTAACTCATTTAATCCTTACCACAACCATAGGAAGTAGATTCTATTATTTATCCAATTTTACAGATGAAAAAACTGAGGCTGGTCATTTGGCATAAATTACCAGTGCTGGCCAGGACTTTAGAGACCATTTAATCCAATGCTCTTATTTTACAGAGGTGCAGCTGAAGCCTAAGTAAGTGATATGATTTCCTACACATTCATGCACCTTCATGCACATCCACTAAAACTTCTATTAAATGGAACCGACTATCCACACTCCAATTAGCTAGGTGCCTTCTCCCCCACCCCCATTTAGTAATTTACAATTAATTGGAGGACTTTTTATAGTTATATTAGAGGAAAGGAGCATGTTTTACTTTATATCAACTTTCTTCTCTGCTGAAAAACATTTTGATTCATTTCGCCAGTCATTTTAGTTCTTTCAATAGGGTTAATACACAGATCAAACAAGACTTAAATACATTTTTAACAATTTGACAATTTAAAAGTGAATTGCCTAAAACCTAGGTCTTCTAAGTTGGAGCCCAATGCTTTTTTTATTGCTCCACTGTAGTCAAAGGTGAATATATAAACGTGGTTTCAGATAAAATGCAGAAGCTGTATTTAATTAAGTTGGCTTTTGTCATGAAAGAAATCAGAAAGTTTGGACAACTCAGGAATGGATTTCCATCCTAGATGGTACTTACTACTATTTCTGGAATTAAGTTTACTGTCTATATTCAGGATTTTGTGCATAAGAGACGTGACCACTGAGGTTGTGTGTCATTCTTAGTTCTAATCCAAGGGTCAGCAAACTTAGTCTCTGTTAATGGTCAGATACTAGTTTTTTGGCTTTTCAGTCTGTTTGGCTCTGCTATAAACAATACATAAATGAATGAGCATGGCTATGTTCCAATCAAATTTAACTGACACTGAACTTTGAATTTCATATGCTTTTCAAATGTCACAAATGTTTTCCTTTTGATTTTTTTTAAAAAAGCCATTAAAAAATCCAAAGACCATTCTTAGCTTGCAGTCTGCACAAAAACAGGAAGCAGGCTGGGTTTGCTGATGGATTGTGGTTTTCCCACCCTTGTTCTTAGACAGGGACACACCAATATATCATGAATGTTGTAAAGGATACTGCCAGTAATGTATTATTACTGGTTAGTTGTAAGAAGATCAAAGTTAGTGAATAATTTGTTTTTAAAATGAATTATTGTTGATTTATTTTTATAAATAAATGGCACAGGGCATTCTCATGCTCTTGCATTCTAATGTATTTTCTGGAATTGATGCAAAAGTGGTGGCAGTAAAGTACAGAGCTGGCTAAGCAGCAGTTTTGTCTTAAGTGTGGTGATCGTGGACAACGATTACTGCTGAACTGCTCTTCATGGTAAGGATTTCAGTGTTTCAGAGTAATTCATTAACCTAGAGATGTTTTAAAAAGTTGTATCAAAATCTGCTGCACCATGGGAGTGTTTTACACGTGTGATGTACATCTACCTTATGTACCATAATGGAAAAATGTTTGAGAACCACTGCACTAGGCCAAAGGCTGGGATGTGTATACTTTGCTGTCGTGTATAATTGTATGTCCTTGTTCTCTAAACAGATTTGATTATGTTTACTGAACAGTTAGGTGGTTCTCTGTGTGTTTATATACACAGATGATCCCCAAATTGGATGGTTCAACTTCAGAGTTTTCAAACTTACAATAATATGAAAGTGATATACATTCGGTACACTCCTACAACTTACATTGGGGTTATGTCCCATAAGTGTTTGACTTACAATATTTTTCAACTTACGATTGATGGGTTTGCTAAGACATAACCCTCTTGTAACTTGAGGAGCATCTGTATAT